ATATAGCCCGGAAAAACCTACAACAACCCAGTGATTCCGGCCATGAAAGCCTTCGACAATACATTTATACAGAATATTTTCAATATTGAAAAATATTAATGCCTTCGTCAATATTTTAAATAATTTTTTTTAGCATGGAACAAAGTTATGCTGCAGCAAAACATTAGTAAGTAAAGGTGCCACTGTCTCAGCCAACCGGGAGGAAAACTACCAGCATTGTGGATTATTGGAAAGGATATTCAGATCTGTTTGGCCTTTGCAGGAAAATCACTGCATCCACAATTCCATCTAATCCTTATTCTTTTAGTTCCATTTGCAATAAGGCTGAATTGCCTCTAGGTGGCACTGTGGCATACAAATTTAAGATCTAGGCGACAGATCAGTCGTTGAGTGCAACATGTCCCCTTGTGGCTACAGCTAGAATTGCAGTCGTAAATACATTGCTAAGGATTATGTATAATAAGTTTTATTCAAGACCACGGAGGTCGTACCCATCCCATAGTCAAGAGTGAAGGAGGAGCAGTTGCCTTGTCTCCTTCCAGGCTAAAGGAAGGACTGGCGCAACCTCAACATGGCATATAGGTCTTCCAGAAGAACTTGCAAGGTGGAGGGCTTGGAGGATTGGAATTATTTGGATCATCACCTACGTATCCCTCTGTGTCATCCCCATAGTCCTCTGGGGCTCTGGGTACACGGATCTTTGGTCTCTCCTGAGGGTCAGAAGGAAGACAAGGTCACAGAATCATAGCATTGGAAGAGACCCCAGAATATTTATTTATTATTTATTGCTAGCGCTTCTACCCCATCCTTCTCAACCCCCTAGGGGGGACTCAGGGCGGCTTACAAAAGGCACAATTCAATGCCCAACAATTCACAAAATACAATTATTTATTTATTTATTTATTTACTACATTTGTAGACCGCCCTTCTCAGCCCTAGGGCGACTCACGGCGGTGTACAACATATAAAAACCAGGTACAATTTCAACAAAGCAATTACACATCAACAATAAACAACAGCACTATCAATAATACAGTTACACTAAATCATTCGCCACGTCTCATCATTGAATCATCCGAATCTCATTATCCATGTTCCGTTCTAATCGTCATTGCCAATTGTTGCAGCACTTACACAAACGCCTTGTCAAAGAACCACGTCTTTAGTCTCTTGCGAAATGTCATAAGGGAGGGCGCCACTCTGATGTCCACAGGGAGGGTGTTCTACAGCCGGGGGGCCACCACCGAGAAGGCCCTATCCCTAGTCCCCGCCAGGTGTGCCTGAGAGGCGGGCGGGATCGAGAGAAGGGCCTCCCCGGACGATCTCAAAGTCCTCGTGGGCTCATAGGCCGAGATGCGGTCAGACAGGTATTTTGGGCCGGAACCGTTTAGGGCTTTGTAGGCCAACACCAGCACCTTGAATTGGGCCCGGTAGCAAATCGGCAGCCAGTGGAGCTGGTACAGCAAGGGCGTTGTGTGCTCCCTGCGTCCCGCTCCCGTTAGTAACATGGCTGCTGAGCGCTGGACTAGCTGGAGCTTCCAGGCCGTCTTCAAGGGCAGCCCCACGTAGAGAGCGTTGCAGTAGTCCAGGCGGGATGTGACCAGAGCGTGTACTACCGTGGCCAAGTCAGACTTCCCAAGGTACTGGCGCAGCTGGCGCACGAGCCTAAGCTGTGCAAATGCTCCCCTGGTCACCGCTGAAACAATATACAATTTACAATATAACGATAGTTATAACTAATTAAAACAGTCAAATTAAAACAACTATAGCAATAAAATCATCTTGTAGTCAACGTTCGTCAATTCATAAATTCATAATCCATCCAGCATTGTCATTCTCCTTTCCTACTCTGGTCGTCATTGTCTTTTATCCATCTGCCAGCTTACCCAAACGCCTGGTCCCATATCCAGGTTTTTAACTTCCTTCTGAAAGAGAGGAGGGATGTTGATGACCTAATTTCCCTGGGGAGTGAATTCCACAGGTGAGGGCCACCACCGAGAAGGCCCTGTCCCTCGTCCTCGCCAGTCGCACTTGTGATAAAGGCGGGGCCGAGAGCAGGGCCTCCCCTTTTATTTTTATTATTATTATTATTATTATTATTATTATTATTATTATTATTATTATTAATAATAATAATAATAATAATAATAATAATAATAATAAAGGGCTGAATGAATTGAGAAGATAAGAGTCAGGTACTATAGGTAGCATTCAGGAAAATAAGAATTAAAAACTATAGTATATTCTAATGCAATGCCCTGGTGAGGCAGTGAAATCCACTCCAGATTTTAGTCAGAACTTTAGCACTTCTATTAGAAAACGATGAACCTATTTGTTACCGCACTGGAGTCTGAATAAAACCTCAGTATAGACTCTGCTCTGATAAGGGGAGATATGCCCAGTTAAATGCGCAATTCCAGAGGTTAGCCAGAAGAGACAAGGAACTATTTTTAAACAAGCAATGCATGGAAGTGGAAAAAGACAACAGAATAGGAAGGACAAGAGACCTCTTCCAGAAAATTAGAAACATTGGAGGTAAATTTCAGGCAAAAATTGGTATGATAAGAAACAAAGATGGCAGGGACCTAACAGAAGCTGAAGAGATCAAGAGAAGGTGGTGAGACTATACAGAAGATCTGTATAGGAAGGATAACAATATCGAGGATAGCTTTGACGGTGTGGTGAATGAATTAGAACCAGACATCCTGAGGAGTGAGGTTGAATGGGCCTTAAGAAGCATTGCTAACAACAAGGCAGCAGGAGACGACGGGATCCCAGCAAATATGGAAAACACAAGAATGGCCATCAGACCGGAAAAAATCAACTTACATCCCCATACCAAAAAAGGGAAATGCGAAAGACTGCTCCAACTTCCGTACAGTGGNCTCCCACCTGAGGTGGCGGGAGTTAAAAGACCTCTGACAATCCGGAACAGCTCCGCCGGACGGTTCCTTGCACATTATTTGCATATTATTTGTGTATATATGTCATTTTACATATGTCATTTAGCACATTATTTGCATATTATTTGTGTATATATGTCATTTTGCGCATGCGTTGTAATGTATTTTTTATTTTTTGGCTTTTTAAGTCTCTTCTGCTGTGTTTTTCAGTGTTTTATGAGTAATGGTCACTCATTGGCCCGATAGGTGTATTGTGTCCAAATTTGGTGGCAGTTCGTCCAGTGGTTTTTGAGTTATGTTAATCCCACAAACGAACATTTTTGGTGATGTCCAGGATGGGAGGACGCAAGTGTGGATGTTGCAACGAGCAAGCTTAAATAGCATTGAGTAGCCATAAAGTTTGCAAAGTCAATCAGTGAAGGTATCTGCATAGAGGTAGTGAAGTATATGTCTCCATGGCTACTCAATGCTATTCAGGCTTGCTCATTCCAACATTCACACTTCTGAGCTTGAATAGCATTGAGTAGCCATGAAGTTTGCAAAGTCAACCAGTGAGGGTCTCTGCATAGAAGCAACGAAGCAAGTGGAGTGCATATGTCTTCATGGCTACTCAATGCTATTCAGGCTTGCTCATTCCAACATTCACACTTCTGAGCTTGAATAGCATTGAGTGACCATGAAGTTTGCAAAGTCAATCAGTGAGGGTATCTGTATAGAGGTAGTGAAGCAAGTGGAGTGCATATATATCTCTTTGGAATAATGTCCAGGGTGGGAGGAAGAACTCTTGTCTGTGTGACACAAGTGTGGATGTTACAACGAACGAGCTTGAGTAACTTTGAGTAGCCATGAAGTTTGCAAAATCAATTAGTGAGGGTCTCTGCACTGGGGTAGTGAAGCAAGTGACGTGTATATATTCCTGTGGAATAATGTCCAGAGTGGGAGAAAAACCCTTGTCTATTTAAGCAGATGTGAATGTTGCAATGAGCAAGCTTGAATAGCATTTGAGTAGCCATGAAGCTGCAAAGTCAATCAATAGGGGTCTCTGCATAGAGGCAGTGAAGCAAATGGAGTCAAAATATTCCTGTGGAATAATGTCCAGAGTGGGAGAAAGAACCTTTGTCTCTTTTAAGCATGTGTGGATGTCGCAATTATCAAATTTGAATAGCATCGAGTAGCCATGAAGTTTGTAAAGTCAATCAGTGAGAGTCCTTTCATGGAGTACTTCCTCATTCTTTCACCTGCTGCTGGAGATTTTTATGGCGTCGTGAATTAGTTAAATTAGCCTCCCCGCATAAGCAGTACCTAAATTTCCTACTTGACAGATGCAACTGTCTTTCGGGCTGCAAAGGTCAACAGCAAGCTAGACAAATGGTTGGGAGCTTACTGCTTCAAACTCAGTGGTTATTTAATGCAGCTAACTCCTAGCCAGCTGCTTCGGAAAAAAAAGAACGATGCCATCCGACTGACCCTTCCGCCTCTTCTCTCTCCTTTCTCCTTCCTGTTTTCCAGCAAAGGGTCGAGATCCACAAGCTCCGCCAAGGGGAAAACCTCATCCTGGGCTTCAGCATCGGGGGCGGCATCGACCAGGACCCCTCCCAGAACCCCTTTTCCGAGGACAAGACTGACAAGGTCAGTGCTTGGTATTCTGGGTCATATGGTTGTACTGAAGGGCCCTCAAAGACACCAATAATAATAATAATAATAATAATAATAATAATAATAATAATAATATAATTCCATCTCCTTGTCTGGCAGAAGAAGTTTGGACTGGATGGCCCCTTGAGGTCTCTTCCAACTCCAGGAGTCTAATAATAATAACAACAACAACTTTGGGGTAGTTTGAACCCCTAAATCGCCCCTTTGCCTACAGGCTTGACGGCCTGCACCCCTGTTTTGGTGGCTTTGTATTTCTATGCTTTGGCAAGCCTGACCAATGCTCCCGTCCTCTCTTTCAGGGCATTTATGTGACCCGAGTGACAGAGGGCGGCCCGGCGGAAGTGGCGGGGCTTCAGGTGGGAGACAAGATCATGCAGGTGAGCCTCGCCCTTTGGGTTTGTTTTCAGTCAGCCTGTTTCCTGGCCAGTGTGCATATATAGATCAGACCTGGGCCATATATGATATGATATAATATGATATAATATGTTATAATATGATATAATATGATATAATATGATATAATATATAATATGATATAATATGATAATATATGATAATATATGATAATATATATATGTATATAATATATTGTATATACATATAATATTTATAATGTAATGTAATATAATACTAATAATATGATATTATAATTATATATTTTATATTACATGTAATAGTAATGTAATGTAATATATATATAATATTGTATATACAGATAATATTTGTAATAATGTAATACAATGTAATACTAATAATGCGATATTATAATTATATATTGATATTACATGTAATAATAATATAATATAATGTAATATATATAATATTGTATATGCATAAAATATTTGTAATATAATGTAATACAATATAATACTAATAATAATATGATATTATAATTATATATTTTATATTACATGTAATTATAATATAATGTAATATACATATATAATATTGTATATACATATAATATTTATAATATAATGTAATACAATATACTACTAATAATATGATATTATAATTATATATTTTATATTACACATAATATTGCTTTTAATATTACAATATAATGGTATAATACAGTATAGTAATATCTAACACTGATATTGTGCTATCTAATATATCTATATAGATAGATAGATATATTTATAATATATCTTATATTTTATTACATGTAATAATATAATATAATATATATATATAATATTGTATATACCGTATATTCCGGCATATAAGACGACTGGGCGTATAAGACGACCCCCAACTTTTCCAATTAAAATATATTGTTAAGACAATTCCCATGCATAAGACTGCACCCGCGTATAAGACGACCCCTGACTTTTGAGAAGATTTTCTTGGGTTAAAAAGTAGTCTTATACACCAGAATATACTGTATATATAATATTTATAATATAATGTAATACACTATACTAATAATAATATGATATTATAGTTATATATTTTATATTACATGTAATATTACTAATAATATTACAATATAATAGTATAATACAGTATAGTAATATCTAACACTGATATTGTGCTAATATATCTATATATAGATATATTTATAATATATCTAATATATTTTATATTATATGTAATAATATAATATGTAATATATATAATATTGTATATACATATATTTATAATGTAATGTAATACACTATACTAATAATAATATGATATTATAATTATATATTTTATATTACATGTAATATTGCTAATAGTATTACAATTTAATGGTATAATACAATATAGTAATATCTAACACTGATATTGTGGTATGGTAATAATATAATAATACTAATATAGTACAATATTATAATTATATATTTTATATTACATGTAATATTACTAATAATATTACAATATAATGGTATAATACAATATAGTAATATCTAACACTGATATTGTGCTATGCTAATAATATAATACTACTAATATAATGCAATATTATAATTATATATTTTATATTACATTACTAATAATAATACAACATTATAATTATATATTTTATATTACATGTAATATTGCTAATAATATTACAATATAATGGTATAGTACAATATAGTAATATATGACACTGATATTGTGCTATGCTAATAATATCTCATAATAATACAATATTATAATTATATATTTTATATTACATGTAATATTGCTTTTAATATTACAATATAATGGTATAGTACTATATAGTAATACATGACACTGATATTGTGCTATGCTAATAATATAATGCGAATAATAATACAATATTATAACTATATATTTTATATTACATATAACCCTTTCTTTAACACATATAATTCAATTTAAATATATAACCCTGTCCAGGTGAACGGGTGGGACATGACCATGGTGACGCACGACCAAGCGCGGAAGCGGCTGACCAAGCGCAACGAGGAAGTGGTCCGGCTCCTGGTGACCAGGCACTCCCTCCAGAAGGCCGTCCAGCAATCCATGATGGGCCCCGCTTGCCACTGAGTCGCATTGGAGGAGGAGGAGAAGGAGACCAGTGCCATCTTGGTAGAGGCGGGGCCCCGTGCCTCTCCCAAGATGGCACCCGCCGCCAGAGAACCGGCCCGTTGGAATTCGCAGTTTTTGCAAACTTCCTCTTTTGGACGATGGGAACTTTCCGTGGCTTAACATAAATCAGTTATAGTCCAACTTTGGCCCTCTGGGTGTTTTGAACTTCAACTCAACTGTGGGAGTTGAAGTCCAAAACACCCAGAGGGCCAAAGTTGGACCATGCCTACTTTAGATCCATGTCCTGCCTTATCACTTCCTCCGAGTTTACTACAAGGGTTGAATGAAAAGTAATGCCTCCACCTTCGTAACTCCTCAACAGATGGCAGTACTGGTATACGGCAGGTACTGGCTTATTCAGTAGACTCTCCTTTACAGTTCCATTTTGATACGAAGCCTTAGCATTGAATGGTTGTGTTGTTAAAGTGAAAAGTAATGCCTCCACCTTCGTAACCCCTCAACAGATGGCAGTACCGGTATGAGGCATGTATTGGCTTGTTCAGTAGATTCTCCTCTACAGTTTTGTTTTGGCGAGAAGCCTTAGCATTGAACGGTTGTGGTGTTAAAGTAAAAAGTAATGCCTCTGCCTTCGTAACTTTTCAACAGATGGCAATACTGGTATGTGGCAAGTGCTGGCTTGTTCAGTAGACTCTCCTCTACAGTTTCATTTTGGTGGGAAGCCTTAGCATTGAATGGTTTTGTTGGTAAAATGCAAAGTATGGAACCCTGTGCAGACAGTCGGTCAGTGCGACTTAAGCAACAGCAGAAGGTGTCACCCCAAAGGTGTCACCCCAAAGGAGATTCGTTGGGGAATGCAAACTGTTGATGGTGATTGTGTTGATATGAGTACTGTGTGTCGTTGAGTGAGTAAGTTCAAAGATGTTGAGGTGACACCTTCTGCTGTCAAGAATTCAAGGACTGCACGTTGCTTAAGTCACATCAACAACACAACCATTCAATGCAAAATGGAACTATAGAGGAGAGTCTACTGAATAAGCCAGTACCTGCTGCATACCAGTACCGCCATCTGTTGAGGAGTTACGAAGGTGGAGGCATTACTTTTCACTTTAACAACACAACCATTCAATGTTAAGGCTTCCTAGCGAAATGGAACTATAGAGGAGAGTCTACTGAACAAGCCAGTACCTGCTGCATACCATTACTGCCATTTGTTTAGCAGTTACGAAGGTGGAGGCATTACTTTTCACTTTAACAACAAAACCATTCAATGCTAAGGCTTCCTGCCAAAATGGAACTGTAGAGGAGAGTCTACTGAACAAGCCAGTACCTGTCGCATACCAGTACTGCCATCTGTTGAGGAGTTACAAAGGTGGAGGCATTACTTTTCACTTTAACAACACAACCATTCAATGCTAAGGCTTCCTATCAAAATGGAAATAGAGGAGAGTCTACTGAACAAGCCAGTACCTGCTTTTCATTCAACCCTCGTATATTTTATCTAGGAAGCTCAAACTAGGAAATCCTACCATCAAAGATTCTGAAAAGCCACCCGAGTGCCATTTCGTATGTCGATCAATCCACAAACAGGGCATTTGTAGCTTCCCATATGGAGAGGAGGCTTTTTGGCGCCTGCTGTGAGTTCCTTTCAACCCTGTATTTTGGAATATACTGTAAATATGCCCCCTCTTTCTCCCCCTTCCTATACATCGAGATCACTAACTTATTTCAGTATATTACTGCTCTCTCTCTCTCTTGACTTGGGCGGCATTGATTCTCTGTCCGACGGGGTGTAAACAGAGCGGCCGCGACCACTAGATGCCTCTTGATCACTGTGTCCTTTTTGTACTTCCGATTCCAAGGTTTTGATAAAAATGTATGATTATTCTTTTTTGGGTAGGGAAGGGGGATTTTGTGGTTTTTTGCGCACAAAACACTGAACTCGTGATTCACCGCACTCGCCTTGTTTCGAAGAGATGTTGATCATTTGCTATGACAATAATAAACCAGCCAATCAAGGCTTTCTGACGGACAGGCGGGCGCCTGCGTTTCTTGTGGTACTCGCTGCGAGGGGGAGAATCATGTCCAGAGAATTTTGTGACATTGTGATACACAATAGGCGTATAGGCCTCGTGGGACATCCAGTCCAACCCCTTTCTGCTAAGAAGCAGGAAAATTGCATTCAAAGCACCCCCGACAGATGGCCACCCAGCCTCTATTTCAAAGCCTTCACCACACTCCAGGGCAGAGAGTTCCACTGCTGAACAGCTCTGATTTAGTTATGTGAGCTAATTTAATTGGGTGCAAAGAGAGGGAGAGAAAGGGAGGGAGAAGAGGAAAGAAATAAGAAAGGGGAGAACAGGGGCACGAGAAAAAGAAAGGGAAGGAGCGAAAGAAAGAAGGAAAAAGAGCAAGGGAGGGAGGGAGAAAGAAGGAGAGAGTCACAAGAAAAAGAAAGGGAAAGAAGGAGGAAGAAAGACACGTGAGAGAAGAAAAAGGGAACGGGAGAGAGAGAAAAGGAGAAAGGGTCACAAGAAAAAGGAAGAAAGGGAAAGAAGGAGGAAGAAAGACAAGAGAAGAAAAAGGGAATGGGAGGTAGAAAAGGAGAGAGGGTCACAAGAAAGAAAAAGGAGAGGATGAAGAAAGGAAGGGAGAAGGACACAAAAAAGAAGGAGAGGAAGGAAGGAAGCAAGAGAGAAGGAGAGGGTTACAACAGAAAGGAAAGATAGAGAGAAGGAGAGGAGGAAGAAAGGAAAGAGAAAGGGGCACAAGAAAGAAAAAAGGAAGGAGAGCAAAGGAGAAGGGAGGGAGAAAGAAGGAGAGAGACAAGAAAAAGGAAGAAAGGAAAGAAAAAGAAAGAAGGGGCAAGAAAGACACAACAAGAAAAAGGGAAGGAGAAGAAGAAAGATAAGAGAGGGGAGGAAGAAAAAAGAGGGAACGAGAGAAAGAAAGGAGAAGGGAGGGAGAGAAAGGAGAGGGTCACAAAAAGGAAGAAAGGGAAAGGAGAGGAGGAAGAAAGGGAAGAGAGAAAGGGACACGAAGAAGGAAGGAAGCAAGAGAGAAGGCAAGAGTTACAACAGAAAGAAAAGAAAGATAAAGGGAAAGAAGGAGGAGAGGAGGAAGAAAGGAAAGGGAGAAAAGGGGCACAAGAAAGGGAAGGAGAGAAAGAAAGAAGGAGAGCAAAGGAGAAGGGAGGGAGAAAGGAGGAGAGAGTCACAAGAAAGGGAAAGGGGAGGAAGGAGGAAGAAAGACGAGAGAGAGAGAAAAAAAGGGGAGGGAGAGAGAAAAAGAAAGGGGAGAAAAGTAGAAGGGAGGGAGAGAAAGGAAAGGGTCACAAAAAGGAAGAAAGGAAAGGGAAAGAAGGAGAGGAGGAAGAAAGGATGGAGAAAAGGGGCACAAGAAGGAGAAAAAATGAAGAGAAAAAGAAAGGGAAGGAGAGAGCAAAGGAGGGAGGAAGAAAGAAGGAAAGAGGGTCTCAAGAAAAAGGAAGAAAGAAGGAAAGGTAAAAGCAAAGGAGGAAGAAAGGGACACGAGAGAGAGCAGAAAAAGGGAAGGAGAGGAAGAAAAGCTATGGAATACTGGGAGTTGTGGTTTTGCAAGGGCTTTTCTGCTTAATCACTCCAGTGACTCACCTCACAGCAAGGGGACAACAAAGGCGTGTTTTAGTATCACTTCCGATTGCCATATTCTGTGCTGTGGTTTGCTGGGATTTATAGTTTGCCTTCAATCAAAGAGCATTGATAGGAGGCAATGCTATGTACCCCCCCCCCCCCCAATACACATACACACACTTGAACTTCCACGACTCAATGCTGTGGAAATCTGGGTGCTGCAGTTTGGCAAAGGAGGGGAAAGGCATTGCAAACTAGATCTCCCAGGCTCCCATCACATTGAGCTGCTGCAGAGGTTGTATATGATGGTGAGAGTTGTAGGTGGAAGGCCTTGGAAAATTATAACTCCTAAGATGATGATGATGATGATTATTGTTATTATTATTACAGTACTATTATTATTTATAATTGCCATGTCTCAATCAGATCTCAATGACAGGTCAGGTGAAGCCCTTTGGCGCCCTCCTGTGGACACAGGAATATTGCCCTTGCCTTGAGATTCTGATCTGCAGCCCTTTGCCGCCATCCAGTGGCCAAAGAGGGGAGTGCAGTCTAGAGCCACACCTAGTGCCATGGCTCAGTGCTAGACTCCTGGGAGTTGTAGTTTTGTAAGGGCTTCTCTGCTGAATCATGGCAGTGACTCACCCCATTGCAAAGGTGCAACAAAGGCACCTTTTAGCACCGCTTGCAATCGCCGTGACTCCCTCCTCTGGGCTGCTGGGATTTGTAGTTTGCCGTGGTCCCATTGTTCTCTGATAGGGGGCAGTGCTGTGTGACCCCTAGTCGAACTTCTACAGCATATTGCTATGGAATCCTTGGAGGTGTAGTTTGGCAGGGGAGGCAAAAGTCCTTGGAGAACTACGCCTTCCAGGCTCCCATAGTATTGAGCTGTTGCAGAGTTGTGGAGGTTGTATGGGATGGTGGGAGTTGTAGTTTGGCGAGGTATCAGCACTCTTTTTCAGAGGAGGCAAAGAGCCTTGCAAAACTCTAACTCTCAAGATGATGATGATGATGATGGTTGTTATTATTGGAACACTGCACCTCTGTATTCTATTTCCCACCAAGAGAAACACCATAAAGAAGGGAAGGGGGAAAAAAGGAATGAAAAAGGGAAGATAGAATAAAAGAAAAACTTTCCCTGAACCCAAACTAGGCCTGCCTGCATTCCAGGCTCCTGGGAATGGTAGTTTGGCATGGCCTCAGCACGATCTGGCTTAGACCCTAGTTAAACTAGGCCTCCCAGAAGTAAACAACCAAACCATCTTTCCCCAAGTGGTGGGCCAAAATGAAGGGATTTCTTAAATTAGGTCATTTTCAGGGTTGTAGTTTGGCAAGGCCCCAGCACTCTTGGGCAGAAGAGGAGGAATAATAATAATATTAATTCCCAGGATGTTATAATACTACTACTACTACTACTACTAATAATAATAATAATAAACAATAATAATGTTAATATTAATTCCCAGGATGTAATAATAATAATAATAATAATGTAAACAATAATTATATGGGTAATATTAATTGCTAAGGATGGCTGGTAAATAAGTAAATATTATACTAATATAATAAAAAAATAATAAAAAAAATAATAAAAATAATAATAATAAAAAAAAAAAGAAGAAGAAGAAGAAGAAGAAGAAGAAGAAGACAAAGAAGAAGACAAAGAATAAGACAAAGAAGAAGACGAAGCAGACAATAATAATGTTAATATTAATTCCCAGGATGTAATAACAACAACAACACTTTATTTATATTCTGCCCTTCTCACCCCGAAGGGGACTCAGGGCGGATCACAAGTACACATACACGGCAAACATTCAATGCCATTTGTATAGACCGTACACAGACAGACAGCACAGAAGGAGGTGTTGTTTTGATGCCATGGACGGTTGGGCTCAAGTCCACAGGGGGTGCTGTCGCTCCATCCTCTATGACGAAGACTTCCTCATTCACCTTTTCAGGCCAGGTTTTATTTTATTATTTATTTACTTTACTTTACTTCTATACCGCTGTTCTCAGCCCGGAGGCGACTCACAGCGGTTCACAGGACACAAGACACAGAAAAATTTAATACACCAATATAAAACAGTTAATAACCAATCTAATACACAGTTAGTATACAATTACTATAATAACCATTCACTAGTGTCTCTTCACTAAAAAACATGATCCAGATTCGTCATCCATTGTTCCATTCCTATGTCATTGCCAGTCATTGCACTAATTATTCGAACGCCTGCACAAATAACCAGGTCTTTACTTTTTTGCGGAATACCATTAGAGATGGTGCTAATCTAATGTCTGTGGGAAGGGCGTTCCACAGCCGGGGAGCCACCACCGAGAAGGCCCTATCTCTCGTCCCCGCCAGCCGTGCTTGTGATGCTGGTGGGACCGAGAGCTCCCTTGCTTTTAGTGGTACCTAATTTCTCTAATTACAGCTAAAGCTGTTTTCGAACTGCTTAGGTCAACAGTGAGCAGGGCTGACAGTTGGCTGCTCATGCCGACCTGGGGCTTCGAACTTGCAACCTTTCAGTTTATAGATCTTATAGTTGCTGATGTTTTACCAGCTGTGCTAAACCTCCAGCCATTATTATTATTATTATTATTATTATTATTATTATTATTATTTGAAATAGCCATGGCCCAATGCTAATGGTCATTCCCTTTGCTGCCCTCTTGTGGAGACAGGAATAGTTGCCCTTGCCTTGAGATTCTGATCTGCAATCCCTTGCTGCCCTCAAGTGGCCAGGCAGGAAAGTGCAATGATGGATCAATGATATGGAAGGTGAAGCCCTGATCAAGGCCGGTCCAGATCCAAAGCCCATGGGTTTCCAGACCAAGCTGTGTCCTCCTGTAATGATCTCTAGCTCGTGCAATACACCTCACACAAACCCCATGGCCATGGGTCGTTGGACCAAAAGGGATGCATTATTATTATGAATTATTATTATTATTATATTATTCCTTGGCGAGTTGGTCAAGCCAACTTCAGACAGAGTCGGACGCTTGACCCAGAGGCCAGAAAACCATGCAGCCACACCAAAGTAGGTTCAAATAACATATATTATTTTTTATTAACAGAAGTATAAACATAGAGTCTTTGTATAAGTAAATATTCACGCACACACACACGCTCCCTCCCCAGCCCCCCTTATTTTCGAATAAATAAGCTAACAAGTAAATATTAATTAATATAAACAACTGTAACATTTTTTAAAAGCCAAAAAAGTGCAAAAAAATAAAACTTGGAGTGCTTGTAGATGGAGCTTGAAGACAGAGTGGCAGCGAATACAGAGAAGGCCCCGGCTTCTATAACTTCCATGTCCTTGGCAGGAGGCAGTGATGGCAACCCTGTGGGGGAAATCTGCATCAGAAATTAGCTTCCTCACCTGTGATGTCTGGGGTATGACTGGGGCCTGAAGACACCCTCCGAAGAATATCCAAGCCTGGAAAAGGCTGAGGAAGGAAAACTACGAAAGAGATGATGTGACCAACACTGAGGTTTACTCCTACTAAGGCCTTTCCTCCCACACAGAGAGGCTGCTCTCACACTGAGAGTGCTCTCAGACTGAGGCGTGGCTAAGCAACAGGCATGCTTGCTTCTATCGCCATGCCTCAAATACCTCCCCTCTGAATCCGGATGATATGACCCACAGTGAGGCCTACTCCCACTAAGG